GTCATCGATAGAATGATGGGTGTGGCCATTACTGGATGATGGCTTCTCAGTATAAAGGGGAACTTGAGTAGACATTTGAGTCAACAAAGCAAAACAATGCTGCAAAAAAAAGAAGATAGAAGAAAGAGGATTAGAAAACCCACTATCAAATTAAAAAAAAGGGAGGTTATCTTTTTATCTATTTATACGTAATAAATAAATGGAAATATAGGAGACGAGGCGTTAGTACTGATAATAACAATAGTTTGGTGGGGGGGGTGCAGACACTAGAATTTCAGTCTGCAACTGAGTTTAAAAACGTAATAGATTACCCATTGTTCCTGGGTTATTAATTATTTTAAGTAAAGAATTTTTGATTATTAATTCATGATTATGTAATCCAGAAATTATGGTAATAGAAGGCTGAAGAACAAAGCGCAATGAAGACGGAAATTGAATTTTCCTTGAGAACAATAAGAATTTTAATTTTAACTTTGCATCTATTGTGAGTCATTTTAAACAGAGTAATAAAATGTCTTAGATCCAATGATTTCTTGGTTTCAAAAATAGAAGTCATACAGTACAAGATAGGGATCCTATTCCAGAGTATGACTAATCTCTCGAATTGTAAAAGCCTGTGACAAAGTGTTCTTCATTTCCTTCTACCAAAGATCATAATTCAGTTGATCAATTTCATTTAGTAAAATGAGTCCAAAAAAAAAAAAATAATCAAACTCCGTCTTGAACAATATAATTCAGCGGGTACATCTATCCGAAAACCTAAACAAGGAAAAAAAACCGACGGATTTAAAGGACTAAATCTGATCTAACCCGACAATTACAACCTTATCTCAATATCACTTGTGCTGTCCCCGCCTGTTTGCTTAGTAATAGTCGAGAACTCTCATATGAGAAATGTGGATTGAGAAATTGGCAATGTTGAAAGGTTGTATGGTAAAGGGTACCGGGATGTACCGCCGTCCCCAGAATAAGATTCTTTTTTTAGAACGGGTTCAGCATTCCGAGTCGTTGGCTTTTCGATACGATTGGCCGATAATAGGACCCTAATTAATCCCATTGTAATAAAATAGTGCATTATTATTCTTAAAAAACAATGAGATTTCAGCATTACACCAGGAAGGAGCTATAAAATTATTGAGTTCAATGGTTCTCAGACGCTTCCGGAATATGTGTTTCTCTGTAGGAAAAGGGAATGTCAGTGCATGATGAAATAAGGAATTTAGCTGGGTTAGCCACTAAATGAGGTATAACCGCAGTAAGATTCGGAGTGTTTTACTAGAATTGGTGAGAACAATGACGTGTTTGATTGGGCGTAGCGCTAGATCGACCGAGCGAATGCATGCTGAAATTCCGAGATGAACCAAGGTTCAATGTTGTATGTAACCTATAAAGATAAATATTTGTTCCCCAACCGAATCCCAAAACCTCTAAAGGGAGGATCCACAGGTATTTATCCTCGTGCCCTAAAGTTTAAGAAACGGGGAAGGTAGCGAACGAATGGAGGCTTTTCAGTAATCAACTGTAGTGTAACAAGTTACGCACAGGAACCACGTTGGGAGCTCCGCCATACCACATACTCACTAATGACCGACGAAAGTCTATAATCTCCGCAATTACTCCAATTATAAATTTAGAAGGAGCACGTAAGCACCCCTTACATGCCCGTATCTAACCGGCGTATTGAAGCTGTGCAATCACTTGTTTGTATGGCTATTTAGTATTGAAAGAACTAAAACCTCGGGCAAAAACCAAGTTTGATGAGGTAACGGAACTTCCGGTGGAAGAATACACAGCCTTCCAAATGCTAAGGGGAGATTCATGCAAGGAAATTTAAATATAAAGTGAAAACGAAGATACGAAAGAAGCGATATTAAGGAGATTGCGCTTATCGGTTTCGTGATTTTTTTCTTTAAATTACAGGTAATATATACGCGTTGACTTCCGTCTAGAGGCGGAACCTATATGATTCTAAGGGGTTGAACCCCCCAGTATGGGAGTACTATATAACTGAATATTACATCACGATGCGTGAGAGTGTCCGGAGGCGGGGGGCATGGGGGGAATGGATTATGATCTCGGTCGGTCAGCACGTGCAAACTTAATTTTAACTATCGCGTAAATAAACTTTGATTTTGTGAACTTTCTTTTTGAATTGAAATAGTCATCGATTATTGATGAATCATCCATAACCCTTTCGTCTCTCCACAAATTTCATTTAATTTAATTCAGTTTAAAAAAAAATAATTTTATTTAAATCATAAATCTAAATTATCATGCATTTCCATTAGAACGTTTTAAATATATTGGTAAAATATAAAAACATGGCTGTGTCACCTTTGAGAAAACTAGACACTAAATTGAAATGTTCTTTTGTGCTTTGTTCATGTAATTTTTGCAACTATTAGAACGTTATGATTTCAACATTGTTAGATCGTTCGCCAATGAGACACTTCTTTAGAAGACATAGCCAAGACGACAATGATACATCTTCCCCCTCCAAAGAGAAGAAATTAGGAAATGTACCCGCGATCCTGTCAAGAGCTGTGGATGATGAATCGGACTCCGAGTGCGTTTCCGATTGTACCTCGATCGTTTCAAATAAAAGTGGTGGGAGTATACTACCTTCTTATTATATGTATAATTCCATTCTACGGCGCAAGTTTTGTTCAACTATCGAACAATATTCTTTACCAAGTTATACCCTGGTGAATACAAATTCCAATAACATACCAATATCCCTGACAGTTTCGGTATCAAACTATTCTATCCATGAGAAATTATCGTCGTTGCCCAATGAACGAAAATTAGCGATGCTGTTTGAGTTGGAGCATCCTGAAGAATATGAATATCGACAAGGAGAAATTATCAAAGGTCATTTAACGATTGAGAACCATCTGGATTCATATATCAAATTTTCCCTGATTTATCTTTTATTGGAAGGATATATCCATTATGCATTTTATGGCAGAAAGCCATTTCTTTCTTTGATTGATTTTAATTCATTCTTACATCATAAACATCATAAATTGTCAGCTAATGGCTTTTATAGACAACCGTTTGAATTTAAAATTCCGGAATATTTAGTAGATAATCAATGTGAAGAAGTCATGGCGAGTCACTTGGAAATCTTGCCTAGCGTAAGTCCTAATTCATTTTGCTCGCTTAGAATTAGTTATGAATTATCTTGTCATGTCATATATGAAGATAAACTAGGTAAATTCGAAAAATTAGGAGAATTAGACCAGAGTATTGTTATTATACCTAAATATGAACCTGAGATACCATTTATGGAGAATACATTGGATTATATGATGCGTGACTTTATAACTTCTGATGGGATATACGTTAGTAAATCCAGATTTGATGAAGTGTTACAGCAATTGGATTTGAATCCCTTAAAGAGTGAGTTGATCTTTAGAGGATGTGACAGATTATTGAAATTGACAATAGAACAGCCATCTATTGACTTTAAATATGTTCCAATGACACCTCAAACCCCACAACATCCTGACTTGAACCAATTAATCAAAATTCCAATCAATATTCTGCCATGCGAAGAGAATGGCCAAGTACCACCACTTCAATCAATCAGTGCCGATTTGATAGTTATAACTGCAAGATCATACAGACCAATTCCTATATGTTTTACTTCAAATATGTTCTTTGAATCATTTACTGATCTGAAATACTCGGATATTATCACAATACCTATATGTAAATGTTTAAATATTATTAGGAAACATAATCCTAACTATGAAGACGCAACAAATCCCATAAGGAAATTGCTTAAAATACAAGTAACATACACACCATTACTGATTCCAAATGTAATAGTTGATGAAAATGCCAACATTTCCATAAGATTAAAGAATATGTGTATCAAAGCCCTTGACCATGCGGTTGTAAAATATATTTTTGGAAGTGGATTCAGTTTGGTTCCTAATTTTCAAAATTGTAATGTAATCAGAGAATATTATTTACATTTGGAATTACAATTTGATAATTATAGATTTAAGAGGAATCATAAAGTGATAGTAAATATTCCAGTTAATGTGATAGTGTGAAGTGACTAAGCTGGTCTTGATGTTTTCACACACACACTATTTCTCTACAATTTTCTTTGGCTGCAAAAAAGCCTTCGTGCTTGTTTATACATATAACAATTGCCTCTAGATTAGCTATTAATTAGAATTAGTCTAAATGTCTATAAAATAAATTACAATTAAGGGTATTATGATTAACGACCATACTTCTTTAATTCCCAATAACGTAATGGAGGAAATACTAAACCACTGAAACCCATACATAACCACATGGCAATATCACCTCCATACTCACCTCCAACTCTTCTAGCAACTGGTCCGATCCAATATGTTTGCGACATCCCAACGGCAGCACCAGTGGCACCGATTATAAATGAGGCAGTCGCAGCTAAACCTCTTGATAATTTGTCATAATCATTCCAAATTGCGAAATTATAATGTTGGTTACGACGCAATTCTGCAGTAGCAAATCTTGCAGTACTATCTTCCTTTGTTTCTTCTGGAGGGAATTCTGCGGTATATAAGTATTTAAATCTATCCGTTCTGAAAATTGTGTTTTCTTCAAGTAATAAAATGAAATACATGGAAATCCAGTAACCAACCATAGGTAAGAAATTACCTAAAATGGTTGCAAATTGATTTCTACCAACCAAGGCACAAATTAAATAAACTGCAGTTAAGACAAAAGCCCAAAGCCATCTTGGAATTTTGGCTAACCATCTTCCTGCTAATTGAACACCGAAAGCAGCTGAATAAGTATTTAAAATATTGTTTGAAACCAATGAAAGGTAAATTAATACTAATAAGAATTTACCGCCTCCGCCCCAAGGTTTGAATGCTTCATGTAAAAGACCACCCATACCTAAGTTGGCATAAGCATCTCCCCACGGTTTATATGTAAGTGCAACATTACCAATCAAAATACCAGCAACCCCGACAAATGTAGTTGGGATGGCGATACCAAAGAATGTAATGGTGAAGATTTCCCAATCTGGAGTATTTTCAGGGAATAAGATGTAATAATCGGATGCGATCGATCCCCAAGTAGATGTAATTGAATAACATAATGAAAAAAAGGTTAACCAGTTTCCTTTAACGGTTGCGCTATCTTGAATAACATCATCTAAAGTTAAATACAGGAATTTTTTTGCTGCGACAACATATAATAACAAGAATGCAAAGTTAACCGGTAAACTCAAGAAAGTTTCAACTCTTAGCAATTGTTTAATACCACCAACGGCAACAATCAATGAAATACCCGCGATAATAACAATCCCGGCCCATAACGGCACTTTCTCGTTAGATAAAGATGCAATAATCTGTCCACCAACAACACAGTTAACAACTGACCAACCCATAACACCAATAATACTGACTAATGCTACCAATTTCACCGACCACCATCCAAATAAAAATCTAGCACCCACCATCTGTCTACATCCGGATCTTGGTCCCATAAGAGAACAATAAGCTGCTATAGCACAACCTAAGACTTCTCCAATAAGACCAGAGATTAATGTATTCCTCAAACCTAATCCGAATAATAATGGACCTAAATAGAATGATGACATTGATGATAACCCACCACAGGCAGATAACCATAATCCAATAACACTGATTAATTGTCTGGTACGGTTCGTGGAACGTTCGTAAGGCTCTATACGTTCAATTCCTCTAGTTTCAACACCCAAAGCATCGAGCTTTTTGGATGCAATCGCAAGATAGTGAAAGATTGAACGATAGGTGGAGGGTGTTGAATTTGGGTCTTGAGAATGACTGGATGTTGACTCATATGACGTCTGCTCGGCTAGGTCCTTGTCGGTGACCTTGTTGCTATTCTTCAAGGACATACTATTTTGATATTGTTCCTTATCTGGTTTTCCAATAGATCAAAATGATTAAATAGAAGTTATCTATAAATAAATTTGGAGATGACTGAACAAAACCCAAAAAAAAAATCTTTTTTGTAAACTCGTAAATTCGGAGTCAAAAACATGAGTCACCCGGTGACGGCGACTTCTTATTTGGGCAAGCCGCTAAGTTTATACTCTACTTGTTTTATCTTCCCCTTGAAGACCCCAGTATCTCGAAAGACCTTTATTTTTTTATCGACCTACATGAGATACATCGCTCCCTCTTGTTCTTAGTTCAAATTATTTACCTACCAATAAGATAGTTGCACTTTCTTCAAAGGGTATAGCTTCTATCCAACCGAAGCTATTTCTAATATGAACGGTGAAAACGCGCAAAAACGAGAGTTTGGGAGATATTCAGCAAGCTGTATGACTCAATCAATTCAGTTTGAAACTTGTAATATCCTACTATCTAACAACAATACTAAAGAAAATACAATTCAATAGAAAAGAAAACGATATCTCGAGATTCCAGAATCTCAAAATGGCTGCAAAAAAAAAATCAAGCTGTGAAGAATACAGGAACATTCATTGACACCTTTCCCATTTTCTTCTTTCCTTTTCCAACCTCAGCAGTCAAGCTCAAGAAATATTCCCGGCCAATGCATACATATTGGAAGTTAGGAACAAACTTGTTGCAATCTATTTTGGTATCTTTCTTATACATTCTTTTTAAAGCGTACATTCCATCAAGCGAAATCCCAATTTCATTCTTGTCAATAAAGACAATTGGGCAATGGAATTTCTGATATCTAACATCTAATTGAAGAATGTCGCATAGTGGATACGGACTTACTCCTTGGTTTCTCAAATACGTAACCATGGCACGTAATGGTTTTTCTACAATTTCGTGGAACCTTCTTCCAGTATGAGATTCAAAAAACATTGTTGGTGGCAATTCCATGGGGAATTCACACAAGGGTGATGTTATGTCTACAACGACCAATTCTGCACTTACAGTAATTAATTCGTAATCATGTGGCTCAAGATCAAATGGGATTCTGAGTGTTTGTACAAGTGGCTTTGGAAAAATACTTTGAACACAATCTGCCCTAACTCCTTTGAAGCCGTTATCTTTGTCGCCTAAATATAAAGTCCAGAAGACATCTCTTTTGCAATAGGAGAATGAAGATTTTAAATCAGTCAAGAGTACTGAATTGGCAACTTTTCCTAGAAACACACGTTCGTATTGTAGGTCCAGGAATAAACAACTCAATAGCTCATTATTGTATTCTGTATTTTCAATAGTGACAACTGGATACTGTGTGAGTACTGTCAATACTACGTGGTCTTGACCCAATTTCGTTTTCCTTCCCTCTTCCTGTCTGGTAACAAAGCAAGAAAGTTTGTACTGGATCCCTAACTTTTTAGTGCTGATGCTTGGGGGTAGTTGTAAATTGCATCCATTTTCAACATCATCGACCATGTGATGTTCAGGAATCTTGAATGAAAACCGTATCTTCTTTGTGGCATTACCTTCCATAACTATTGGTTCGGAAACCAAATTTTCAAAATCTATCATTTCGAGAAAACTTACTTCAGTCGAAGCATCTTTAAAGCAGCCATCTAAAATAATATAAACCTGCGATAGCGAAACTTGAATAGCCGATTTATTGGTAAGCATCACTGTTCCAGAAACCTCGTCACCGGGATGGAAGACATGATCCCACCATAATTCGTCAAGACAAATCAGGACAGAGATATCTCGAGTGTTTTTTAATTCATTCAACCTCTTTTTTAAGGGTCCTCTGATATTCATGACAAGGCAATCTTCATAATTAAAAAGCGAGTCTACGTCTTGTGACTGTGAGTAATCAGGTGGAATTGAGAGAATCTCTAAGCTGCAATTTATCAATGATTCATACATATGATAGGAAGGCAAGATGTCACCTTTGGGGATTTCGAAGCTTTCTAAGGCATCAACGAATCTTGGTTGAATACTTTCGTCTTCAGAGGAAATTGTTGAAGAACTTTCCTCCGGTTCGATTATTGCAGACGTCGCTGGAATCAAGCGAAACTTAGTTGCAGTTTGCATCTTTTCTTAGATTGTTTGGCAGAAATAATTGTACGCTATATCTGTGGTTGTCAATGAGATCTTTGTGGTGGTTAATAAAATGAAGTCGATAGTTTGGTTTCCAAAAATTCAAACGTGATTTCCTCACAATATAAATAGGCTGACTCTCTTTGTAAATTTCACGATCATCGAAACTGGGGTACGGCGAAGCAGTGCAGGAACAAAAAATAATTAAAAATAATGCGTTGGTGGGAAAACCTCGCCCAGCTTTAAGCTAAGTCATAAATATTCTCAAAATTGATGTCGCGGACACATTGATATGGTATATTGGGAATCCTCCTGTAATATATCTGGTAATCAGTAAGTATTTAGTGGTAATCTTCCATTTCGTCATTGCAGTTTCTGAGACCTAAGATTGCGCACAGAAGCTAAAAAACAAAAAAATATTTTTAGAAACGTTTTAAAGTTAAGCTTTTCTCGCATGCATATAAAATATCTATTGTGGCTAATTAATTTTTTAACCTGTCAGAATTTAACTAAATGGGTTTAAAACTTGATCAGAAGTGCAAAAAATGAAGCTCGGTCGTGAACAAGCTTTAATATAACCAATCAAAGCCCGACGCGGGGGTCGAACCCGCAACCTTTTGATGTCTAACATAAGAGTCAAACGCTCTACCGATTGAGCTAGCCAGGCGCTGTTCGCGAGCTGTCAAAATTTCCACTTTTTCGGGTTTTGAATAATCTTGGCCATTGCGATTTTTGTAAGCTAGAATAACCAACGATTGGGTCACACATTTGCCCTTTAATAGTCGTACGTGTTCTGTTCAATTCCGTGAAGATCTTAGTACTTGTCGAAGTTGTTATTTTTAATCATGATTTCGAATATTTTAATTGCTGCAAATTACGTTCCCAAGTTGTGTAACTTTTTAGCAAAAGGTTGCAAAAAACTTTACTTTTTTCTTCAACAATTCAACAATGCATTCTTTTATGGACTATGCACTATGCATCCTGAATAAAGCTTCACTCACTAGTGTATATAGATATTCTGTTTGTACAGAAAGCCGCCTATCCCTTCTCAGTTACCACTGCTCAAATAAATCTCAAAGAATCTGAAACATTGTTTAGTTACTATATTCCATATTTCATTAAGGGTAGTCTATAGCGTACGCACAATGGCTAAATTATACACATGAATCCCAAACTTTATACCCCGCCAATAATAAGATGGCCTAAGTATAAAACATTTGTTAGAATTTTAACACATGGCTTCCAGCAAAGTTGGAAGGTCAGTCTTGTTGAACGGCGACTGAACATTTTTTGATTGTTAGTCAATACCATTGAATTGGAAAATTGTAGAATATAAAGTTTACCTTTGGATTCTTGAATCATCTAGTTGGAGATATCTACAATGAACATACACCCAAGAGCGAACGAGTCCAAACCACTTGTGATTGGTGAATAGAAAATTATACTGCTTAGAAAAAAAAGTACGATATATGGCTCTTTTTGGATCTGCTTTGTTTCCTCCCTAATACTAGTATCAGACAATCCAAGGTATGACATAGACATGCATCGATAGACAGATACAGAATTGGTTTTGAAATTACCTTTCATAATTTCAAAATACCAGCTTCGCGAAGCCCCGAATAGGGAGTAGCCTATCTGTTGGGATTCAAACGAGAGACCCATCCTGATTGGATCATGATATGACATTAAGATGGCTAATTTTGTATGCTCATCTTTCAGCAGTTCTCTATTGGATTCTTGACTCAATTCTTTGGGTGTTTGAACTATCGGCAAAGCATTATTGATGTGAAGAACCTATTTATTTTCAATTTGTATATTCCCGGCCCTGGAATAAAGAGTGTGAAAACTCTGTTTGAATGAAATAGAGTTATCTCAGACTGAATACCCGATCGGCATTTTCGATAGCACCATGAAATCATAAGATACTCATCCTTCAATATCAACTTAGAAATAAGCCTTCGATGTATGCATGTCAAATTTCATTTGATCAACAACGTCAGTATATTGGCTATATATATCCCACGGCTAAAACAGGAGATATCGAGAATAAGAAAAATGAAAAAAAGTTTTGTTGACTCAAATTCATAAATCAGTTGTCACAAAGTTCCGGACCCGGAGGCAAGAGCACGGCTGATGAAAACCTAGTTGTTGAACATCATCATTTTGGTGACTTGTTATTCTTTTTGATGTACAATCATGTCAGGAGCCCTAGAAGAATTTTGATGTCATCTGAATCATCACAGTGTCCCTGCGATGAGCGTTGTCGACGTGACTTGAACATGCTTGAACGTAGAAATCAAAATAGACTATCATGCAAAGCTCGGAGTTAATATTTTCTTGAAATGTGTATGCTCTTTGTTTGCGTTGTTTGTGTTAAATTGCTATTGTCTGCAATAAACTTCTTTAGAAGTGCCTTAAACAATAGACTATCCCTGGTCTATTATAAATGACAATTGGAAACAAGGGTCTCGGAATTGAAAAATATTGTCAGACAACGTTATTTTGCACGTGAAAAATTAAATTATCCTTGTTCTTCAAACAAAAACAAGTAAAACACGTATTGTTTAACACGCATTGGATCTTTGCGCTATAAGTTACTAGATCCGGGAATAGAATTACTTAAACCTGCCGTAATAATAACACAGTGAGTTATTTTAATCCGTGCGTAGTTAAGAAGAATTTGTTAAACAATTATGCCGATAAAGTTGTTGCGCTAAGATTTCCAGAATATCCAAACTAGATCTACGTTTGAGGCGGTTATGCTTCTGAGAATCTGTAATTTTCTTTTAAACTTGCAATTGTTTTGCAATGAGGAGCACGTAAGGAATCTATCCCCCCCCCTTGTCTGTTTCCAAGATGGGAAAAGCTCCTTGACTTAACCAAGAGATTTGTGGTGTGATCAAGAAAAATTGTACACTGACCACAATGTTTCTAAGTCGCAAATTTCGGAACAGATTTAATAACAACAGTGGGGTAAAAAGGAGGGGCAGTGGTGGACCCAAGGAGTATTACCAAAAGATACGGTAGTTACATCGAAAAAATAAGGTTTCATGAGTCAATACCTTAAAAACACAAGAAGAGGTGATTTTAGTCCATATTTCTGCCGATATCAGTTCAGAGAGGAGAGATAAAGTTTAATCACGATTGATATCATCAAAACCTCACACACTCCACCTTTTTTAACTTCCAAGTTTTCTTGTGTTTCCAAAGCAGCTCCCGGAAAGGGATACAAATTTGCCTTAAAAAGGATCTAAAAACTATCTTGCAAGGACATGTTAGTAAATAGGACCACAATTGAAGTATAAGAATCCCAAATAAAGTTAATTAATCAGATTATCTTTTGTTACATGTAAAAATTTATTCAAATAATGTAGATAAGTTTATTTTTAAAGGTAAATCATCATATAAGTCAAAGGTCTAGATTAATGTCAACAATATACATAATTATAAACATTTGCTCTATCCCTTTCCCTTTATTGGTTCTTTGTCATTTTAAGTAGCTTAAGCACATACCCAATTGCAATAATTTCCATAACTTCGGCTTTAATGCAAAAGAGAAGAAAGTCATCGCAATGATGACATTTGAGAAGTTTTCTTTTTCTTGCAATGGCCTGTTTGAATTCGAAAAAAAAAAAAATTATTTCCATCAGACCGGGTAAGGCTATACTTTATAAAAAGTAATTTGAAATTTTTTTTAAAATTAAATAAGAATTTATGCATTAAAAAATATCGGAACTTTAAGACTAAAAAATAAAAAAACCACATTTTGTTTTAATTGAATAATTACAGAATAGAATATAAATAGACATAAATATTCCCCCTAAATTAGACGCTGTTGAATCCCTTTAATTCATCAATAATCAATATTAACCAATACAAAGCAGAATGACACTTTTAAACGTTATTTCAAACCATGCAAACACTTTACAAATCTCATATTCAAATATCTTCCAACCAATGGTTAGTATATTTTACTTAATTGAGAATCTGATATGCAAAGTATCACAACTGTTATTATTAATAATTAGTGTACCTATACTCATATCATTCTTGGCTGACTTTGGCTACTATTTGACTTATAGAACTATCCTTGAGAATAAAAAGTTGAGTGAGTTTATCTCCACAAAGATAAAACGAGTCAGTTGAATCAATTGAAGGGAAATGTTGTTTGATACAAGAACTGGTTTTATTTGGTCAAACACTTCGAACAACCCTTATTATCGACTTTAGAGGAGAACATTTTATAGATAAAGCTGCTGTATACAGTGATAAAGCCCCCGTCTATGTTGATTTGAAACCTTGTTAGTTTGATATTATTTAAATTTATTTATTTCGTTGATTTTTTTTATGTTATTTTTGGGAATTGGTTATTGATTTTTAGTTTATACGTTTTATAGTACATTGAATAAACAATTATATTAGAAAAGTCTATTAATCTAGAAACGCATTCCCTCTGACTCCATTCTTTCCCCTTACACACACTCCCCCAATTGTGGTTCCCCTTTTAACAGATAAGCAAGGTCCGGAACCGAGAAGAGGACAATAGAGCGGGAAAAAAAAGAAAAAAAAAATACCCAGCCTGAGTCAAAAAAATTACACAAACCAGCACACCGCCAGTCTGACGTCAACTTAGGTGACCACGAGTCATACCCACACTCACATAAAGTAGTATATGTATCGAAGTTAGCGTCATAGAGGATACTGAAAATGAGCCCATCTTTTGCGTATACAGGGTGAGCAACAAATCACACGTATACGTAAATAAAAGAACAGATGAGGATAAGCAACAGAATGAACCAGAAGTCAAATTTAACCTATTTTGTAAATATGGTTTAGTTAAACTTGCTTGGAAAAAAAATATGATACATAAACATGGCAAGATTGAGATCTAGACAAGTGCTCAAGTGCTTGAAGAACTACGAAAAATAATAAAACTCCGAGAGAAGTGGGCGAAATAGATTATTTTTAGTTTTGCAACAATGAATACCAAAAACGTTTATAAAATTCTCGGTAAAGTTGCTATTTTCTTATTATTATCTCTCAATACTCCTTTGGGAGGCGGTTGAAGAAAAGCGATACAACGGGGTGAGATCCTTAATGTAGAACGATGCTTGAGTAGGGAGGGGTGGGGAATTTCTAGGCAGTAAAATTTTCTTAGTACAGATGGAAGAAGATAGATTTCAGAATAAATATGTAGATAAAACTAAATTTAATAGATAAGCTTGTTACAATTGAAAACTCGACAGATTGGCAAGTGTAGATAAGATTTTACCACCTGATGTTTTATTTTTACTTCTTCCTGGTGGTGGGACGAATAATACCATTGAATAAATATTCTCTCACGTATAAACTACTAGCTTTGGAAAACAGAAGAGCTTTCACAGAATTCTAACCACTTTATCATCCCCTTGCCTTTGCTGTATTAACATCGAGGGGTATCAAATAGCTTTCAATCCGTGAAGAAAGTCCCTTAAACGTGTTTTTGAGGAAGGGGGCTTGGTAGGTTGTTATTCTACTGATTAGATAAGATAGGACTGTATGTTAGTGACAATAGTGAATGCTTGGTATTTAAAGTATTAATCATGTAGGTACCGAAATAGAATAGAAGAACAAGGTATACAACATGCATATCGTAATTACCTAATCAAAAGCCCATAAATTCCTTCATTTAGTCTGTGATTCATGGTAGTAATCCTACAAATCTACGGTTTCTACTCGAGCGCAACGTGTCTTCTCTGTAAGCAAATACACATGGTCCGAGAGAGGTTGGCCCTAAAAAGAAAATAACGGGGTGAAAAGACGCAACCAAGATAGTCAACAACATTCGATTACACTGTAATTCGCTTTTCTAGAACTAGACATGACATATAGCCATGATAGACTAAATATTCAGATCCACAGATCTATACACAAGCGTTGGTTATGTTCTTCCACTTGTTTGCTATGAAGAATGGAAACATAGCCTTCCGGTGATTAGTAGTTTGCGGTATGGAAATTTAAGCTTGTACATTTTAGAAACCGAATGCTTTATTCTTACACTATAGCTCTTGTAAGAATTATCACCCTGAGCACATTAGTTTCTCACAGGAGGAAACTGGGGTAATATATATACCAACATTTAGTTCCAATGCGCGAATCTGCCAGGGGTATGAAGTATTTTCTTACGCCAACTTTTGGCTTAAAAATTGTGAATTTTGGCGTACACAAGCGTGGTTGCGTAATCTACAAGGGATAGAGCCATGCTTAGATAATCTTTCTGTATTGTATTGTTGGACGCCAAAAGTTGTCATTTTAAAGGTTGTGAACATTTGTGCGGAAATTTCACAGAATACATTTTGGCTGCGCCACATGAGCAAAAAATAGTGAAACAATGATTACAAAAACGTAAATTAAGCCCTTCGTGAATTATGTATTTAATTAGTTAATGTCACGCGGATGTTACATTTCTAATAAGCGTAGGTTATCGATTTCATCTTGGATTCAATATGGTAGTGGTAGTCTTTAACTTGAGTTAACTTTCTAGCACTTCTATTTCTTATTGCGCTACTATGTGTGGTCTCCAAAATACTCCACCTGATTACAGAACGGCTTTCCGTGCCTGTGATAAATCTGGATAAACCGGAGATCCTGTAAGAATAGAATGATAGCTAAGTTTGAATAAATTCTAGATACGCGTATCATTCCATCCCTTAAAAAACAATTGCAAAATAAAAATAGAAAAAATAAATAACATTGCTAATTATAACATTATTACAAAGACAACAGTACCTGCATGGAACGATTCAAAGCCAACCGTTTTAAAGACCAGTTTCACGTCCCTTCAGTTTAAAGGATGACTGAAATAGGGTTTCATATAATAAACATCTCGGGATGAGTTGATAATTTATTACTCGAGAGAAGAATTTCTATATTTAGCGCAAATCCCCTATGAATTGCCAAGAGGCTGATGTGTACTCTCGATTTATCTTCCTTTTCTATCGATTAAGAGAATGCATCAATAGGATGTGGTAAATAGAGTGTCAGTATTCCAAATACAACATTGATAGATACCGTTACTTGCAAACAAAAGGTGATTGAAGCACGTTGTTGCAACAAGAAGGGAATATTACACAAAAATAAATCTTGATTTTTTAAACAATAGCAACAAAGAGAAATGAAATATTAAATTTAAATAATAAATTGGTTTCTCAATAAAACACAAAAAAATAACAATAAAATTTTTGTTTGATAGTATTTATCATATTTTCACATTAAATTGATCGGATTTGTTTTAAGGTTGTTAATGCACAAAATGTAATTAATAATAAATATAAGGTCACTCGCCCTGTTTTCAAATAAACTTTCCTTCCCCTTCTCTTCTTTCTCCCCTCTCTCCCCCAAAATCTTGGGTTTCTTAATTCAACCATTCTCATTTCCTACATTCGCTTCTATTAAATAATTTGCAAATTATGATTGAAAAGATTCGTATAAATAGAACGAGACAAAAGCTACTCGTATATGTCTGCCTTGTCATTTGGTTAATTGGTATTAATCTTTGGCTCTTCAAAAGTCATCCTATTTCAGGTTTCAGAAAAGCTTCTTCAGTCGCACATTCAATTTACGACCAATATTCTGATGAAGTTGTATATGGTCAACAATCATATAATGAGAATACTGATGAAGACAATAAGAATGAACAACAGAAACACGTTAAGACAATGTATAAGGATGCTTTCTTCCAATTATTAACTAAACAACTGAAGATCAAAGATCATAGAAATATTCAAGATGCTCATTCTCAAACTTATGATTCGATATTTAAGAATCATGAAATATCGTCAGTGGTTGGTAATCTTGATTTTAATGAACGTTGTCAATTATATTTCCAAAACGTATTTATTGATGATCATAATTGGTTATTTAATCCAAATGAAAAAATTAAACTTGAAAATAAAGATCAATTCAAACTTGAAGATTTCAAAAAGGATAAAGAAGGTGATTTAAAGTCAGATTTTGCTTCCAAGAAGGGAATCAAAACAGATGATGTTAAAGTTGATAGTGACGAATTTAGAGCATTCGCCAAAGAGAAATATGACGAATTCTGGAATGAAACTATGGTGTATGAACAAAAAATTGTTGACACTTTATCTACTTTTAGAATCTTTAACAAATGTTTCATTACGAATGACAACCAAACCCAAGTTACTGCCAATGAGCATTTCATTCAAAAACAACATCAGTTTGTTAAAGCTCTTAAACTGTCAGGTGTCGCTTCTACTGGTTTAACTCCGTTTGAAGCCACCCACAAAGAAACTTTGATTGATCTCACCCGTTCAAACTTCGAACATAGAGTTTATCCTTGGCTATCGTTTGAACCACCTGTATATGAAGACTGGCGTGGACATATTTATCATAGTCCTCCCGATTTGAATGCTATCAAGAAGATGAAACCTCAAAAAGCATTCCCACGTAAGAATTTTCAATTTTTCTTAAAGCTGTTCAAGGAAGCTTGTAATGGAAAAGGTATTGTGTTATCTATTGGTGATCAACATGTTGATGATACTATCAAGTTGATTCACTTATTACGTGCTTTAAATAACAAGTTACCTATTCAAATTGTTTACTACGATAATTTAACAACTGATACCAAGAAGAAAATAGTTACGGCTGCCAGAGAAAAGATTTTTGCATTACCTAAATCATTTCAAAAAGTTGCTGATCAATTCCCCGATGATTATCTTAGTCCTGAAGATAGCGGGTTACCTAAGCAAGAAGTTTGGTTCGTTAACACATATAATGTTATTCATAATGATTTCAAAGATAAATTCCAGAAATTTGCGAATAAATTCTTAGCCACTTTATTTAATTCATTTGAAGAATTCATGTTAATCGATGCTGATACTATTTTATTCCAAAATCCAGAATTTTTCTTTAATTTAAAAGGATATAAAGAAACCGGGACATATTTCTACAGAGATAGAACTGCTGATACCAGACATCGTGATTCCGATGCTTATTTCTTCAAGAAAATTACTCCATCTGTGATCGATCAAGTTATGTTCAATATCCCAATAATCACCTCTCATACCCTCAATCGTGAATTTTTCAAAGATGGAGAATTCCACTATATGGAATCGGGATTAGTAGTTTTGAATAGAGATAGACATTTCAGTTCCATATTGTTGATGTTACAAATGTATTTCTTCCATCCAGTTGCTGAACGTATTCATGGAGACAAGGAAGTTTTCTGGCTTGCTATGGCAGCTAATGGTGATGAAAGTTATCATTTCAATGATTATTTCGCTGCTGCTATTGGGCAAGTCACCCCACAAGAATTTAGACAAAGAAAAGATGGTCATAATCGATACTCATTAGAAATTTGTTCTCCACATCCTGGTCACATCGATTCCGAAGATGGTAAATCATTGGTATGGATGAATTCTGGTTTCCAATACTGTGGACAAGCTGATATTATCGATTATAAGAAAGAAGCAGACAAGAAAACTAGATTGAAATGGTTAGAGAATGAAGATTCTTTCAAAACTTTCTATTATTCTCCTTTGAGAATTACCCATGCGATCATTCCACCTTTGGATGTTGTTGCTGCTGAAAATGTCGAAGATGAACCAAGCACGGGTTGGCACATGGATGAGGAGTATTGTAATTCATATATGTGGTGTGCATATTCGAGCATTGGCGGTAAGACCAAGGATGGGGGTAATAATAAAGTAGATGGTAAAGTATTTGAATTTGATCAAAAGGATCAAGATTTATTTACATATTATGGTGATATTTGGGTAGGATTAGAATAGATGTTATCTTCTGATCTTACGGCTTTTCGTTAGAACAAGTTTCGAGTTCTATTTAGTTCGTTTTCGCATTTTTGTTGATACCTTCAACATAACTTTTATAGATTGTACATTATATTTTTTTAACATGATAAATTATTTGTAGATCACCAATTTTCCATTCTTATCAAGGCTTTAGTGAGACGTACCATTTACAGTTAGCTTCCTAGTATCCAATGTAGTGCAGAGCTTTACTAGTATTTCTCTAGGGGTAAACAAGAGAAATAAAAAAGTATTTTATTTTTTAATTTCATATTTTTTTATTTTTAAGCTCTGTCGCGCAGTAACTTAAACGGCGA